AAGTCAGTTATGGAGAGAATTTTTGGTTTTGCTGCAGATATGGATAAACATTATGTGATAAATTTTATGAATGAAAATTCACTAGATTATTTTTAGTTTGAAAAAGCAAAATTTGTTGACGGGAGAAGGTACCTTTATGGGCGGTCTTTTTTTTCTTCACTGGTGATTCCCCCCCCCCCCCCTCCCCCAACCTTCTTTGATTAATCGGAACCACCTGGCTCAACCTCATTATTTTCCCACTTTGTACTTCAAACATCATCATCGCTATGTCACATAGAGCTGGAGGACGGCTGGCTCGGACTCGGATAGAGTTTCGCGCTTACATCTTAGCTAAGGTTACATATTGGGTTTGCATTACGCACGACGGGGGGGGGGGAGCACCGACGACGACGAGAGAACTCGACTTCGGACCAACACCGTCGTCGCCGTCCACAGCGATCGCATCACACATACATACGGCTTCTGCTACTCTGGGTCTCCCCCCTCCTTCTACCCCCCCTCCCCCTCCCCCCCCCCCCCCCTCCCCGTAAGCTGTGGATCAACGCAGAGTACTTTTGCGAACTGAGTAAACTTTGAGACTCTGCATTGGTGTGTGATGGTGGTTGTGTGTGGTGTGACGGCTTCGCTCGCTCGGTGCTGCAACCCATTGCTCTTTCTTTGTGTTCAATGTGTGCGTGTTTCACTTTTAGTCATACTTGACTCTTTGCGCTTTTTTTTCTGACCAGTGATTGACGCAAAGTATGAGCGGGATTGGCGCAAATTTGGTGAAAAGCTGTTCTTGCCCAGATTTTTCGACACAGAATGCGTTTGGCGAGTCGAGCGTGAAGATATGTTTCAAATCATTATTATAGTGTCAAATCAAGGCAATTTTGCAACTTTTATAGGATTCAGGTAACTTAGGACTATTTCCAGTGCTGTAGGATTACGGTAGTAGTCTCATTTTGTTTAAGAATGCTTAATTCTTTTTTGAGAACTGCTTAAAGCTTCAGCACTATTTCATGCTGATTCATGGCTGCACGGCTATTTCTGTGCCCAGAGTTTGCATTCAGCTCCGCCCACTTGGTCTCGACCAATCACAGGTGTGACCTGATGACATGGGTCCGTCTTTTTGAGAATTTCTATAAAATTAGGGAAAGTCTGCGAACTTGTTCTCGAAGCTGATGTATATAGCGCGAGATAGCCTTATAACCATGCCGCAAATTGCAAAAAGGCACGCCTCTTTGTTCGGACCAATCACAGGTGTGATTTACTGCCATGGAAAATTGTAGACGTTTCGAAGTATAGCATGTTAGCAACAGCCCTTCAATTTATAGTCATACATATTTCAGTCTTTCAGAAGAATTTCTGGAATTTATGAAAACCCCTTTGTAGTCACAATCATGCCGCAACTTGATACGCGACACGCCCACTCGGCATGTGCTGCATGTCAAAAGAATTGCAAAAGTTCCTAATTGGGTCACTTTCCCCCACCTTTTGATTCTCTTGTCTATCATTCGAAGGGCCACTGAATTGCTACATGCTGCACACGGTTATCAACCAACTGCATAGTCACCTGAATAAACAATAGGCTTGATTATTCATCAATCGTCTACTATCTCTCCCTTCCCCCCCCCCCCCCATTATGACATTCTATAATGATTATTTTTACTATCCGCGGTTGACCAGTCTCTCTCTCTCGGTCGCATTTTGTGGGCGGAGTTGTCCGTTTTTAGACATCGTATAGAAAGGGATTTCGGCTACTTCACTACTATTGTACTGTACATAATCGCTCTCGTCGTTGTGGACGCTGGCTGTGTGTTTCTCGCGCGCGCGCGTTCACAAACGTTGCTTGTGTGTTTGTCTAAGCGACGACTTCATTGTACGCGAAACATTGCCGATTTTAGCCACACGCGACAGTCAGAAAGGCGATCGGTGATCGCATCGCTTGTGATGGTGTTTTCAAAAAGTATCATTTATCTGAATTGAAGCTGGGAATTTGCCAAAAAATTTTGAAGATTTTGACAAAATTCCAAGTGTCTTATCTGACAAGCTGCCAGCAGGTTGCCAGCAAATTGCCGACAGGTTACCAGCAAACTGCCAGCAGGTTGCCAGCAATTTGTAAAATATTTTTCTTACAAAGTCCACCAAATCATCAGCTTACAAAATTTGTTCCTTTATCATATTGACCTCTGTACTTTTGTCATTTCGCTCACTAGGATTACGGTAGCGTTACGGTAGACTACGCCTTATCCCCCGTGTAGCCAGTTCCTTTTATTAGGTCTTCGTGAAAATGTTTTGTTATTTCTCTTTATCATTGTTTCGCATTATCGACTTCATTGCAAATAAATAGAGTAACTTCAGAAAATAGATTTTAAAAGGCTGTATTTACCATCCCAACCTGTATTAGAAAGGTCTATCACCTGATCGGGTGCTCGTCCATAACGGTGAAAGAGTGCTCGATCCGAGATCGGGAAGTTCATAAGTACCGCCTCAGGTGTGATCACCCAAATTCGTTTGAGTTATCTGGATCGGGCTGAAAGTGTAGTGAATGATACGTACTGACTAGACACTGCTCAAAATTGGAAGGGATACGGTACAAGTACGGTAGCACTACGCCGAACCGCCCAAATTGCTGGTCACGTTTTTTTCATTATGTTCTAGATCAGTGCACATTTAGTGATAAGTGCTAAGTCTAATACTGTAACGTTTATAGAGTGACGGTATACGGCATAAATACTGTAGCAATACCTTCTCCGCTAAGCTTCTAGTCCAAATTTACCGTTTTTTCATTTTCGTTTTGTTCGCAATTGCATTCGCATATTCCTGTGATGTGAAAATCTTTCTCTATCGCTTCTCCTTTTTTTCACTTTCCTAAGAAAAGGAGACTGCTTTTTTGCTCCTGCTATGAGCTGACCCTGATCACTCCTAGCTCTTCTCAACAAGTGTCTCACTCCCCAAAAATCCAGAACTCTTGTCTTTAGCCTTGTTCTGTTCTAGTGATATGCAGACATTGCACTTGAAAAATCCCCAAAACTGCTTTCCAACGGATTGGTTCCAAGTCATGACTTTGCAAAAAAGCATTGTTGTGTATCGCTGCGATCCCCAATTTAAAATCGGTATTTCTTCCCAAGTAAAAAACGCCAGATGAGTCATTGTGGCGCAGGTGCAAAGTATAGTACCGTGTGGCCGGTATTTTTCTGTCTCTCTGAAATCTATTTCTGTCAATCCTGTAAATACCCGCACCCATGTAAGCTACTTATTTGCGTAAGCGCTAAAGTCTAGACAGATTTTCATTTCTACACATTTCATGGAGCTGGAGTAGGTAAACTGTTCAATTCAAGAAGCACTGAGATTTATTTTTATGAGAGAAAATGAGTTTGTAGGGACTTTTACTTACTACGGCATTATCAGTGGAAACTGTGAGTATAAGCCAATCACTGTTTTCACTGACCAATCAGGTGAGTCCCAAACCTAATAAAGTTTTATTTAAGCTTTGCAAATTTTCGGTACGTCCATTACCAACCTGAGATGAAGGAGCCACAAATTATCAACAAAGAGGGGAGAGGGCTGAACTCTATTATTGGCTTATTGTATTTACTTGACAAAGGGGCGTGGCTTAATATTTGGGTGATTGGTCATTGGAAACTGTGATTGGCTCATTCCGAGTACCAATGTGAATTAGCTATAGACTCCAAGATCTGTTTAGATTTCATGCTTCCATTTTTTGGACTTTTGGAGATTTGGCAAGGTTTTTTTCAAGACTTTATGATATCTCAGTCATATTTGATGTAGATGTATTTCGTTAATTGATTTCGTTTTTAGCTGACTTCGATATTTTTTGAAAGAGAAAATGCGTCGAAAATTGGTTAATGCTCCCACTACTAATTACGGTTTACATTTTTTACCGCAGAATTTCATTTGATTTTTTATTTTCTGGCTACCGAATGCTTGAAAACGAAATTTGTTCGCTATACGTAATTTTTGTGACTTTTTCCATGAATTCTCATTTTTTTGGTTGTTTTCGGACGATCATTATACATGTCCTCGTCACATATATTCATTCTTTCTTTCAAAATTCAGGCAAATTTTATGGTTTTAAATTTGTTATTTGGTCATAGGTAGAGTATGAGCATTTGCTTCGTTATATCCATTATGATTTTTGCCGCATTCTACGAAATTTTTGGCTAGGCATTGTTACAAAGATCATAAATGAACTACAGTCAGAAGATGACTTTGATCCTATAAAATGCCCATCCAGTCGCGCGGGAGTGATCGCAGTTCTCTGGCCGGTCGCTTGCGTCCATTGCGCGCGCACGAGGTTCGGGACGATTAGTACGATTATGTGTTTGTATTTGTCATTTTGTTGACTCACTTGCTAGAGTGCGCTCGAAATGCGAGACGCAGCGCGGTGACAGGGCCGAGACAGCACATTGAGCTTAGAGTGTCGAAAAACTCGTCCCGGACGAAATAGCACAATGCGGGGGAGAGTGTCGAAGACAATGAGACAATTTTAGAGTACTGTCTCGAGTCGAAGATGACAGTTATGCACGGTTAGCCGTCGAGACGTCCGTTAAGACGTCGCGTGCTGTGCTGTTCAAGAGTTCGGACAGGCATCTGTCAGTACCCCCGTGCGCGCACAAGCGCGCCCAGAAATTCTGTTCGTGACCCATTGTGTTGCAGTTGCGGGAAATTGCAAAGTTTCTGAAGGTAGCAGGGAGAAGGGGGGGGGGGGAGGGAGGGAGGAGAAGAGGGGTTTCGAAACTTTTTCCGTAGATATTCTAAAACGTTGTTAGTTTCTGTCAATGCACGACCTATGCTCTAAATACTCATGCTCCGCCTCCTACTCGCCAATCAATATATCAATCTTTCGAAATCTCCATTTCCCATCATAAACCATCTGCCTTCGTATTCGAAATTGCTACATACTCCGCAGTTTTCTCCCTTCTCCTGTCGTGTACGCGCTCTTGACTCGTTCGATGTTCCATGCAAACTCGTCCACCCACAAATCGTCCGAGTTTTCCAGATAGTCCTAGTAGCCGCTGCATGTTGTGACAAGTGCTATGTCGGACTGTTTGAACCCGTTTGCTGCCCTCCTGCAACCAGCACAACTTGCGGCGGCATTTCAACAAAACGTAAGTGATGTTTGATTTTTAATTTTTTCGATCATGGGATGATGTAGTAAAGGGGCGTGGTTTGAGGTCTGATTGGTCAGTGAAAACTGTGATTGGCTCATTTTTGAGTTTTTCTTTGCAGTAGCCGATCATCTTATATGTAACGATATGCTTGACCTAGATTTTTATCGAGAAGGGGCGTGGCCTTGGATTCTGATTGGTCAGTGAAAACTGTGATTGGTTCATTCCTTGACTACTTATCTACAGTGCTTGTGACTAGGATTGAACATACTGCGGGCTTCTACCGTAATTACAAGTAATGTATCGAGCAGGAAATGCTGCAAAAACCTCATTAGCTAATCTTTTTAATTTTTCTTGTATTCCAAATATTTTTTTCGATATGAAAAAACTGTGATGGTCAAATTTATTTTGGAAAGTAATTTCTGCTAACGTGTACTGTATCTATTTTTAACCTCATCTCGTTGACTTTTACACTTTTCCGCTGGGTTCTAGTACAATTTGCATGGTGCAGAATGACGCGATACGAAAATGTTTTTATACTCTGTCTGTTATGACTAAGTGCATGCAAATACTCGAAAGCTGAGAGTGAGTACTATAGCGATTTGTCATGTCGTAAAAGATTTGGCCGAAAGCCAAGTGTTTGTAGTATAGCTATTTGGCGTATGTGTGCACTATGAAGAGCGTAGTAAAGACTGTTAGTGGCGGGATCTCTAATAGTTAGTGGGGTAGCGCGGAAGGAGGGGGGAGTGGGGTGGTGGAAGATGTGTAGTGTGCAAATGCACTGTATATAAGCTAGCATTTTAAGCTTTTAGCGAAAGCAGAAGACGGGAAATTAGCAAATTACCGCAATCCTATTTTCCACTCGGGATCCGCGTGAAACATATTTTTACGGGGACTCCGAGTATTCTAGCATTTAACGTTGGTAAAAATTATTGATCTGTTAATTTAGGTCCTTCAATCCAACTTACTGCAGTTTTTCTTTACAGAATGCAGACTTAGCTGCATTGTCGACGACATCGAATTCGTCACCACCGTATTCGCAAGCGGGTACTGAACAAATGCAATACTCAACACCAGAATCATGCGCGGATCAACGTACGGAAACTCCGTCGTCCGATCAGTTGAACGGCGAAATGTCGGTGTCCAACGGGTTCTCGCCTGACAATGGCACAGGTAAGACGCGGGACAACTCGGACAACTCGGACGAGTTGTACATTGTCCGCGCCTCTGTCCATCTACGCGCACAGGAAGATTTTTCTCAATTCAGGTTCCGATAGGGATCAATCACCTGACTGTGTCTCTACCTCTTCATCCGGTGAACCACATCTACTAGGCTCAAAGACGATCTCTGCTGAAGACGCTGAATTGCAACGACGTGAGTTAGCGGGTTACCGTAATCTCGCCCTCCTCAGGACCAACTATCAAGGAAACCATTTTTTGCAGAGATTCTGCGTCTTCAAGCCTTCAACGACGAGGTGAACGACAAAAAACCTCCGCCGGCGTTGAATTTGCTGACATCATTGCACAATAATCCATTGTTGGCTGAGAAATTAGCCAGCTGTATGATTCCCGGTATGCCGCAACCGCCATCGGCTACAGTACCTCTGGCTGCATCATTAGTTCAACAGACGAACACACATGATGTTACACCGACAAAGCGGAAACGGCAAAGAAGGTAAAGCTTACAGATTTGGGTATAGTAAGGCAGCGGGGGAGGGGGGGGGAGTAGTGCGAGCCATGCGATTGTCATTTGTATGGAGTCCTCCGCCCACAAACCGCCTCTGTTATGCTGGAGCTTACTGCTATAACCCACGGGTGGCCCGCATGAGTCCCGAATAAGGCTTTGGCCACCGATGAGCCATACAGGTTCTCAATAATTAAGATTCCAAGTTTAAGGAATGTAACTTGGTCAAGATTTGCTAGTATGGCTTAAGGTTGGCCCATACAGAGCTTGAAGTAGGCGTCGGGCCATGCATGACCCATTTGAATTTTCGCTAACGAATTGTGTGGGGTCACACAATAGTTTATTTAAATTGGTGCTAATTTCCTAGTATGGCTCCATAAAGAGCCGTAATAGGAAAGTAAGCGTTGGGCCATCCATGGGCCATTAACTGAGAATTCAAGTGTGAGACAACAAGTACCTCAAACTGGTCGCGGTCTTCATGCTCACGAATGGCCCATCTAGGGTAACCGTTAGGCCACTCACGAGCCTAAAACATGAATTTACATTTTTCCTAATCAATCAATCTTTCCTAATCAATCTTTCTAGCAGCTGATCAGTAGTTCACAACTCCAGTTTACTAGGTAATCTTTTTGATATAGCTACAGCTTATTCAACCCACATATGACCCGTAGAAGTAAGCTTGGGCCACCCGTGAGCCAAAACATGTCAACCTTTCGACGAATCAACTTTTTTGGCGTTTGAAACAGGAATGTTCTCAGCTTATGACCAGCAGGGAAAAAAATCCAGCTTTATTGTTCCTTCATTTAGAAATCCGGTTTGGCCGTACTTTGACGTCATAGATGGTACAGCTAGATGCAAGCAGTGTTTGTATAGCACTAAATCTGTGTTTAGCACGAATCTAAAAGTGCATCTACGATCCCATCATAGAGCTGACTACGAGAAGGTTTGTTTTTAATGTTGTCGTCTAGAGCGATTACCATCAAAAAATGAGTTTTGGTTGGCGCAAAGCTTTGCGATTTTTTAGGTGATCCAAGCCGAAGATGCGTTAAACCTGAATGCTTTGCTTCTCAGCGGCAACTCGGGAAAACTATTCTCAACGGATTTAACGCGAAAACGCATGCCACCGATGACGAGCAGCATTCTGATGACGATCAATAAATGTAAGAAAAATTGATTTTGAAGTGAATTTGCAGAGTAGTTGGACCTTCCTTAGGTATGCCATACTTGATCCATATGATCCGCTTAATCCACTTCATCCACTTCGCTATTGGCCAAATGAGTAAACTGGCCAATAGCAAAGTGGATCAATTAAATTATTGGATCAAATGAGCATGCGCTATGCTATTGGTCAATTCATTGATTTGACCAGTAGCGAAGTGGATCAAGTGTGACATGCCCTAGTAATGAAACTTGCAAACTAAGGTCTAGATTGATGATGTTCTTATGAACTCTCTCTGGAACAGAAATTGAGATGTAAATTTCAAACATTTTTATAGCATGTCAGCCACGAAGAAAATTTACCAAAAAACAAAAATCTATTTTTTTTGTAAATGCGATTGTAAAAATTCTTTATCAAGAAAAAAGGACCTGGGGCACTTAAGGAAATTAGGTAAAGGTTTTCTGAGCATAAACAAAAGTTTTTTTCTACATGAAGTTAATGACTTTTATTAGGACAAAGTTCATTGTGATGTCAGAACAGTGATAAATCATCCAGTTACTCAATCTATTTGAATAAGTTTTATTTTTCTTTCGTTTCATTGTCTACCCCCCCCCCCCCCGCCTTCCTCCCCTCGACTTTTTTTTTGCTTAAGAATACCTTTAACTCATGTAGAGCTTCAAAAAGTATTTTAATTCATAGGAAGCTTTTGAGTATGACTCTCATTTCGTTTTGTCGAAAATCGTGATTTGTAACCTACAACGTAGAGTATTTTTTTGTGCACTTGATTCCCCAGAATTTTTTTTTGATAAAAAGCTACACGCGCAAACTTCTTCTTGTAGACAAAAAATTTTCAAAGCTAACTAAAGTTTTGCCTCAAAAGAATTTTCAAGCTAGCAACCTACTTTTTTTACATCGACGATATGACCTTCTCTTTGCACTGACTACAGTGATAGCATAACAAAGATAGGGTTAACAGTACTTCGAGATTAGCAATTTCTTGAAATCTCCATTGCAACAATGTTGGCGAGATCAAAGCGGTATTCTACCAAAAAACAAACATCAGTCGAATTTATGATGAGCAAACCTCTACTGCTGTTTTTCTGCAGACTGGCACAAGAAAAGAAGTTTCACCAGCTGATAAGAAGCAATAAGATTGCGTTTCCAAAGATCTGCTCTGCTGCGACAAAATGTGGGTCACTTTGCCGCAAAAACGCCCCGGTTGCCGCAAAATGACCCCATCTTTCTGTGGCAGAAAGCATTTCATATCACCAAGTACTCGATGTGTGTATACTATCCGAGAGCAGAGCTATCGTGACTAGTCAGCTCTGCACTTTGCGTTTGCTGCGATAAAATTTCGCAAGTAATGCGCTGTGGGTGTGTGTGTCTGTGGTGTTTGTGTATCATTTGTACGAGATAACACATTTTGCAACGTACAGCTCACACAACGTTTTACGTTTACATCAATCCTTTTGGCACAGCCTGAGCTGCTTTTGTACGCTGCTACTATAGGCGAAAGCGGCGCGATGTTGGCCACTTGGCTCAGTCTGAGTGAGTTTAGACAAGTTTTCTTGATCGATTTCTTAGTGTAGTGTCTAACAAAAAAATTGAGCGTAAGCTTCAGAAATCGTCACAATCTTCACATGTGATACAGCTAAATCTCTTAGGAACATATATGATTGGATTAAAGTTTTCTAAAAATTTCCTGCGGTTGATCAAGAGTGCTCTCGCATTTTATACAATTACCAGGAGTTGGAGTTTGATTTGATACCTAGTCAAAACCTTTTGATTTATAAGCCGTTAATTGACTACAACAAGAAAATGGTCCTAACAAGCATTTGGCGGAGGTCAATAAAACAAGCATTTGACGGAGGTCAATAATTTTGAACAGATAGTGTAATCTCACAATGTGCAAATTTAGCGATTCCGTGTTTATATTAGTGGGCAAGGATGATGGCTGATGATGTTCAAAAAGAAATTTTTTACTGTTCTAGTCATCAGCATATTTTAATTCAAATCATATTTTGCGTATTCTTTAGTGAGCATAATCTGGGGTCCATAGTGTTTCAAGAAAAGTTGTTTTTTTTTTCAATAAAATTTGAACTTGTGAACTTTTTTAATACAAAAAAGCACTACCAAAATAAAATCAATCCTTGAGCTTTGTTGAGTATAATTTGAATCCTTGCTTGGCTTTTTTCTCATGAAAAGTTGAATTTGTGAATATATTCTACAAAGAATACGCTACTAGTGGTGATAAAGTAGTTAAAGAAGTGAATGGAGAGAAATTGTTACAATATCTAAGGAACGATTGGATAAATATGAGAGTTGCATTACCTAAACAAAAGCACAAAAAGGAAGATCTTATTGGGAAAAGTTAATAACCATTTAAGGATAGCTGATTTTCGTGGCAGAACTTCAGATATCTTCCCACTTCATCCTCCCAGTTGGCTTTGAATTTCCCATTCGATAAAATAAGCATTGCATAAGTTTCTTCCCGAAAGAAGTAGAGTGATTCTTTTTGTAATTTCTCCTATTTGATAATGTTTTTGAACGGTGAGCGCCAACTACTGACGATTACGAATAATGTTCTTAGATCTTTACTGTTATCACTGTAGTCAGAAATCACGTGAAATGCTATGTATGCTAGTGACTCAAGCTCTTAGGCAACCTTATGACTCGCGCTTCTTTCACGATGTTTAACTTTTTGCTCACCACACATAGAGTACTCCATAGCAAGCTGTGTGATTCAGAGATTTTGGCGAAGATATGAAAAATATGCGAGGAATTCAGAAACGAATTAGTGATTACGTTAGGGACTTTTTTCAGGGCATTCTATGAATTCCAGAGATTTTTGTAGGCTTTTTGCGGACAAAAGCCGTCCTTTAATCAAGCGAATTCTAGCAGCACGTTTTTTTTTGCTTGTTTACCAAAACTAAGCGATCTATAACCACGATTTGTAATCTGACAATGCTTCTCGGCACACTGTCACAAGCTGTATGCGCATATTTGCACAATGCCCGTTTCATATTGTATCAGAGCAGCAATATTTGCATTATACAGACGTTGTGTTAGAGCCATTGTGAGCTCAATGACTGTGTTGCATGGATCATAGTTTTATGTGGGGGAACAGTACAGATAGGAATGACTAAATGGGCGAAAATCAAAATTTGAGGTTCTGAAAGTTACAGGATCGCGAAAACTCGCGGAATCGCGAAGTTCGCGTTTTGCGAGAAGTAATGATTCATGGAAAATGCTTGAATTTGTAAAAGAATGCTCAATCAAGAGGTCATTGGGAACTGCAAGTGGTCTTGATTGGAAATCGAAGTTGAAGAGTGTTAAAAGAAATTCGTGTTTAGAAAAAAAGGGGAGGGGAGGGGGATTAGAGATGGAGCAATACATAGAAGAATTTATGTCCGTTTTGCCTTCGTGTAAAACTGTGATACAAAACCTCAAAGCGCATCCAAAAATCAACGAAAAATGAGGTCACTTTAGATAGTGTTTTCCAAATCAGCTCACTTTTTTCACTGAGAATGTTAATGAGATGAAGAGATTACCTTTCTATTTTCAGTAGCGAGCCAATCAGCCGGTGAAGATAATCCGCTGAACAGCGTATTACGACAAACTCTGGCCGCTGGTACACTAAATCAACAACTGCAACAAGTGCAAAATCAACTTCAGGTAAGTAAACAAATATAATGTACATTCGAATGAACAAAGTCGTAGCTCGTTTTTTCCGAAATGCAAAACTGCGCAGCGAAATCCATTTTTCTAACGCATAAATAAAGTGTAATATAATAGAATTGTGCAATCACATTTTTAAGGCTCAAGCGCAACAGAAGCAGCAACAGCAACAGCAGCAACAGCAGCAACAGCAGCAGCATCAGCAACAACAGCAACAACAGCAGCAACAACAACAGCAACAGCAAACGCCGCTGACACTAAATGCTGCCAATCTGGCTGTGTTAAACCAAATGGCTCGGAATCAGTTGAATGCAAATCCTCAACGTGAGTTCACAGGTAGAACTTGTTTACCATGTGTTCTTGACATGTTTACTCAAGTTAGCGCGAGTATGGTCTTTGTTTACTCGGAAAGTTTCATGTAAACAACAGGTTTGAGCCTACTCTTGACGTGTTAGTGCGGGGGAACACAAGTTATTGCTTACTTGTTGTTTATTAGTGAACAAACAATAACAACAACAACTTTTGATGCTTCCAAAAAAGAAATCTATTCTAATAGGGGTATTTTTTTCCTCTCTTCGAACGTTGTATATCAATCGATAAGCTTCCCAAAATATCAAGTTTACTTTAGCGAGCAGTCAGGTGCCATCACCCATCCCCCCCCCTCCCCGTATTCAGCGTAGCCTTGCTATGTGCATGTTCTGATAACTTGTCACTGATTGCATTGTAATCATTTTATCATGGCGCGTTTCATGACTTGCCCGAGCCCCGACATACGCCCGTATACTAGCCAAATGTGTGCTCTCAAACTTCTTTTGCAGCTAGGCATCGTTTCTTGAGAAAGTCAGAAAGTCCAGTATTCTCGAATTTGTTGCCTTCGTTTATGTTTTGTGAAACTCTATGTTTTCAGCACTTCTCGGTATGACTGCCGAACAATTCACGAACCATTTCAATTTCCTGAATCCGATGAAGAGAGGTGAGTGAACTCAAATTTATCATCAGTCTCAAATCGATTATCAAATGGATAGAAATAAATTCTAGTCGACTTTCAAAGGCTTTAGCAGATAGTTTCATCAGCATAAAGGTCCGAAAATGTTCACGGAATTTCTCCATATTTTCCCCGACCCACTGATAAAAGTATTTGAGTTTTTAAGCCCTTATAATAGGGTATTGTCAGGGAATTAGATTATCATTTGAAAAATTGTCAAAAATCCGTCTACATAATTTGAAAAATCTCAAATATATATCTCACCACATGGCTGACAAAAATTTACCAGCTTTTCGCTTGTGACCTCACGAAAATGTATCCATCAATGTAAACAAGTTCTCATTACTGTTGGCAGTTCATGAGCAAAAAAAATTGTTTCGAGTGCTCGGGTTTGTCATCATGGTTTAAAAAGACTGGAGAAATTAGTGGGTCACACGGGCAACTCCAAATTTCTCGACGTCGGGAATAAGTTTCTGCAAAATAGTGAATTCCGTGGGAATTCGGCAATTTTCGTTGGTTTCTTCTCGTCGTGTGCTCTTTAGACTCGGAAATGAATTTTGAAAATTTAAACCCTATTTTGACGAATTTTCGCAGGGTCGGCATTGCTAATCGACCTTGCTTGGAGTATAACAATCTATTATAGTAACACATTTTATCTTAGTCATTCTATATGCTTAAGAGCTTGCTACTATAAGCCGGCTTAGCGCATAAATCTTTAAAAAAATACTGGTAGTCATGAAACTCGCATCAAGTCCAGTAGGGAAATCTTCCCTTTTATAAATTTCTAGTTATTATTAGATCTGTCAACGTATATCTTTTTCAGATCTTTCGTCAGCACCGAATGGTACCGATGCGAACGGCATGCCACAACCGAAACGACGTCGATTACGTCGACATCCAGTGTGGATGTTCTTCAAGGATCTCGAAGATCGGGTGAGTAATCGTTCCGACGATGAGCCACACATTTGAGAAAGCACTTTTATTCGTTGGCGCAAATTCTGTTGTTTGATGAGATAGCTGATAAAGTGATGAATATACCAGCGGCGGCGTTTGGTTTGGGTTTAGTCGGGCGCTGCGCTAATGTTTGGATTTAAGAATGTAATAAAGTCGAGGGGATCTCGGTTTTTCCCATTTTGAGTTGTTTGCGAAAAAATTCTGTTACTATTTTTTCAAACACCAAAGGTGGTATCTGAGTGTCTAATGGGGTACAGCATAAGGACAATTGATCAGTCTATGTTCATCCTTTTTATCAATCGATATAATCGGATTTTGGTAAAATCTCTAGTTCAAACAATCTGTTTTGAATTTTTGTCAGAGCCGACACAAGTTTCCGAAAGACAGCTGTTTGCTGTAAAAAACTCTTTAAGTAAGAGTTAGGCGACGTCTGAGGACTTTTGAATTAATCTCAACCTTCACTTCCCCAGTAGAGCCCGAAAAACTCAATAAATGCTTACTTCACAGTTTAAAAGAAAGTGCAGGTCTTGGCTGGAGAAAAAAAATACAGTACCTCTTGAGGCTTGATTCGTAGAAAATATGATAGATTGCGCATAGATCACCACAGAAGTTATGTTGTTAGCTTTTACCTAGAAAAGGTCTGAAAATTCAATAGTCCCCCACTTTACCCGCCACCGTATACTTGACAATACCGTATACTTACAGTATCCACTTCAGATGGTCGGCTGCATCAACTGCAATTTCCGGACAGGATCCGCCTTCAGCACCAATTTGAAGATGCATTTGAAAGCTCATCACAAGGAAGACTACGAGAGAGTGAGTACAAGTTTTTGATTATATGAAGGTATGCGGCTTTGGTAAAAGAGTTGGTCATAAGGATTACGGTAGCGACTACGGTATGGGGATAACCTAAGTATAATGGAATTGTCCTCAGCCTTGGCTGTCTTGCAACTCTACACTTCAAGATTATTGTACGAAAATTATCAACAAAAGGGCTCCAATATCGAAAATAGCTAATCCTATGGTACCCTTGACATTCCAAGGCAAAGTACAGACATAAAAGTATGTATATGACTAGATGTCGTTGAAAGGTTAGCTAAGGTGACAAACTACAGAAATGTATTTATTACCTGTGTCGTGCAGCACGTCAAAAGTGCACATACCAGCCCACATGACAGATATGTTTAGCTGTTAAGCAATAACAAGTATAGCAGGCCCCGATGTGTGATTGTACTTTAAGGGGAAGACCTTCGACTATGCAAAAGCCTTTAGCAAAGTGTGCTTTGATTTGCAGCTAGTGCATAGTGCAGTTTACACTATGCTGTTGTCCGTCTCTTCTTACTGTATTCTACCGTAAACTCATTACAACTTAGGCTTTTGACATTCAAGCCAATCCCTTCCTACCTATGAAAGACACACAAAAATCTAACTACGTAAAAATGTATGAATTTCTGATTTTCTTGATTAGCACAATTCAGTGGGTGATAGGAATTACAACCGCTAGACTTTGCCTGATCGAACAACTACATGTTGTTGTGTCTGTCAATGCATATTTTGTACCAGTAGACCGCTTAGGCGGTAATAGTAATGTCCTTTGATTCTCAAATCTTGTGCGACAAAATGGAACTCGTGTTTCGCTTATGGATGTCAAATGAAGTCTCATAATATGTAAGATTACTGTAAAGGTGGGATGTTAGACACAACCGATAGGTTCTCTCGGACACCTAGCACAGGCTGTAATGCTCAAAGAAGCATAATTTGCGCTAATTGTCAGGGCAGAAGGGGCGATAATGTTTTCTAATTCCCAATTTGCGCTAAAAATTTGAATATGCTGTAAAGAGCCGAAAATTTTATTTTTACTGATCAGATAACTCGGAGGGCTATAGAGGCGACGCAGCGGGGAGAGAGCACCTAGGGGCGTTATAGGCGGCAACCTCTCTCAATCGGGTTTTGGCCCAAAACTCAAGATTTCTGCCGCCAAGAAAACAAAATTCTAAATTTTCACAGAGCAGATGATTTGATGGTTCCTCATTTAGGCGGCATTACTGTACAATTACTGTAGGACTACTGCAGGGTTAATTAAAGTTGTAGGTTTGGTGTATTACCAATGCAATGCCGCATTGTAGTCATTGAAACAGATGACCTGTTAATTATTGCCCAGTATTGCTACTGCATTACTGTGGATTTAATGTAGGATTACTGTAGGACTACTGTAAGCACCCGAAAGTCAAATGTCCCACTACTCTGCGCTTTGATACCCCCAGGGCTCGGCACGGGTGGCTTGGTAAATAAGCTGGATATCGTTTTTGGGACAAGAAACAAGGATTTCGTTCTTGTGGGCGAAAAGACACAACATTTGCAACGTTTATTTTGTCGACGTTTCGTTTTTTGGAGGTTTTTAGAACTATGGTTCAGGAACAAAGAGGACTTCGTAAATTTTTGGGAAAGTGGGACTTCATTTTTTGCATTCTCCAAAAGCCACCTCATGCCGTGCTCTGGATACCCCGAATTCAGCGAATTCTGGAATATCTGCGGAGTACAGGAGTTCAGGGGAGAGCCCGGAGTTCCTGTACTCCGTCTAAGGGCAGGAACGAAACGGAGTTAAAACTTACATACAAAATTTACATATAAAATGGTTTCTAGTTTATAAGTAACACACTTTGTGTATAACCATCTCTATTTTTATCACTATTGTATAGTGTCCGATATTGTGGGATAACTGTAAGAGTAGATCACTTCATGTCATGATCTACTTGTGCGCCTGACATTCAATTTCAATTTTTTCCAAGTGTTCAAAATGGTATCTGACGCCATCCAATTAGGAGTCCATAAGATTGTGCATGTATAGCAATAATATCGCCAGCCTGCCGTCAATACCCGCTCTATCACTAGTATCATATCTCACATTTTATCAATTTTTACGGTGTGATTTTAGCTGGGGCAGCAGCGATGTGAGTGCTCTGTGTGTAGAGCGGCGCAAATGGGTTTGCCTGTCATGCCCGCGACATTACTTGTATTGATAACGGCATTATACATACGTACACAGCCGAACTATCAAGATATGAGTTTAGGTGAAACCACGTGGATTGTTTGACTATGGCGTGATATGCATGCAAAGGTTAAAGTTGGGAGGAAAAGTTGAGGGAGGGGGGGGGGGAACTGTGTTGTGTCGAAAGTGCTGATGTGTTCACAGCTCAGTTATCTGAATGGTTATTTCATCTTGAAGTTTTCGAAACGAAATTTTTAGAAAAGCAAATTTTGAGTTAAGCTTGCACGCAACTTTTCAGTTCCGTAAAGTTTGGTTTCTGAAAAGAACTGCGGATTTTTTGTGCAAAATATTTTCACGTGCTTTTGTAGAGCATATCACAAATCACTGTTTTTTTCTACTTATTTGAAATGGAGCCTTCGCAAATTTAGCAGTTTCATATTATTGAATTTTTTTCGCCTTTAGACAAGCTCGAATCATAACATCACGGGTGCCATGCGTATCATCAAAAAAAAAAGAGTACAAAACAATTTGTAAAACCATTGCATGTTTGAGAAACTGGTGTAAAATTTATTGATTCTAGATTTTTTACTTTTGTTGTAGTGATCCGTTCATCATCTATAGAAGGCGTGATTGTGCTCGCTATAAACCTACTTTTATTGAAAAAAATCCCTCCAAATGCTCTTGCGAAATCTGACTTTGGTGACTACCGTATACCTACTGTATGCAGCATACAAAATATTAGTACGAAACTGTGTGCAGTAGAAAAACACTTCCTATGAACATGTTATTACATGTCAAAGCCAGTCTACCTGCGCGTCGACGCAGAGAATAAGGTTAGGCCGCGCGGTGCGGTCTTGCACGCCTGCGTATCTTCTTTTTACCTGCTCTCTCTGCTACTCAAAAGCATGATGCATTTTCGCTGTACACGCGCTTTTCGTATTACCTGCGTCTGCGACCGACACCAAAATTGTTTCAAAATGATTTTTCTAGTTCCTTATTTGGAAGCTTCACGCCCTGCTTATAGGTCTTAAAGCTTGAAGGCGATATGCGTGTTGAAGAGAACGTTACTGGACCACCAAATAAGATCAAGAACGAACTTATCGATTTTATTCGTGGTGGTGGAAACGCAAGCACAGCAGCTGCAGGTATTTCGTTTGGATTTTTACATTCCCTTTTTTATAGCTTCAAATTTCATTTTTTAGCAAACCCTTCCGCTCCTCGTGCGTCACCATTGATCCAGCAGTTTATCAGCCAAACTATGGCAGCACGCCCTTCAGGTGATGGTGGTGCAAGAAAGGAGAGGTAAGTTACTGGGTTGTCGGTAGAGGCTGGATGCAACGATCGATGTATCGATTTTCAGCCTTGACGATGAATCTTTCAATGCTATGTCGATGTCGGATAAGTTAGCTGCATTGGTGGGGCTTGTCCCAGCATCTGGCGGTGTTGATGGAGAAATTAGGCAAGAAGATGAGCCAGAAGATGTGGTCCCAACTGTACAGGTAAGCAAAAGTCTGCTTTTTGACGCAGGGCCAAAAGTAGCTTTGGATTGCCGCCAAATTCTTGATTTTATCGCTTTTTCAGAACGCCTTTGATGAGATTCGACGAGCAGCAGACAACATGCTTGCAGCCAACATGGGACTAGCTCCACCTCCGCAAGAGCAAACCTTAGTAAACCTCAACGGTAAGGCTGTACTCATAATCGAATTTACTTTGACAATGGCAAACTCCACCCACTTGGCAAGTAACGCCCACATATTGCAGGTTCAGTTGTTACCAATGAATCTCAATCAGCTTCATCATCTGGATCCGCTGATGATTGTGACGAGAAGAAAGTTGACCGGGATATGGCTCTAGCAAAGTAAGTTTGAGTCCTTTAAAGGACGCTGGGCTAAATTTTTGGCTGATTGCCAAGATATAAAAAATACCGAGTAGTTGATGTTGCATATTGCAGATTCTGGTTCTCGGAAGGTGCTAACAACAATCTTCTACAGAGTGAATTGTTCAAGGTAAGCTACCGTAATCCTTTCGAGAAGTTACCGTATGCATCTGGAATGCTCTTATCCCGCTTTTTGTGGTGTTTGGTGTATTGTGTGCATGTCGTGTTTGATTTTTTATTCGCTTAAAAATGGGTTCAAAAAAATGCTGGCTGTACAATGGCCGAGAAACTTCAATTTACACCAGTTTTGCAACTTAAGGTTATGTTATATGACAAGAGACGGCGGGCTTACGCGCTGCATATCAATGCGACGCCGTTCGCGCGCGAATTCAAACGTCTTCGGTAGTTCCCCTAAATGTTAACTAGATACCTTTATGTTTTGATGTGTTTGCATACTTTGTGTCGCCAACAGACGCTTTCGTCCAACTTTTGGGGTGGTTTTTTCTTTTTTTCTGTAGATGCGACCCAAACGTAGAACCTTACGACAACTCTTGGTACAACCAAGATGGACGCTGTAAAATATCAGTCTACACGAACTCGTCCTCGTTTCGTCGCTCTCGTCGTCGCGGGACTCTTCCCCTGTGTCGCATTTTCGTCCAATCAACACTGACACAATAATATTGTGCACTATATTAAGGCACTAACTGAGCCGGTTGGTCCTGACAAGAACACTGAAAACCTCGCGTCCACTCTAACATGCTTGAGCCAACTAATAATGCCCACTTGTTGGAATGAGGAGAGCTTAGAAAGTGCTGGAACTTCCGCAGGATTACCGCTTGTGCCGGCGATACCAGCTGTCGATGTTGCTTCGTTGACCTATGATGGATTGTTCGACACTTTGGCATGGCTCCAGAAAACTTTCGGAGCGGACGAGTTGACCTCTTTTGTGGTGGTGATACAGCTGCTGAAAGCGTCTGCAAAGAACGACGAGGAGAGAGTGATTGTGGATACGGTAGCATCTGGATTGGAGCGCATTTACAGTCTGAATTTCGAGACCGATCGAAGTGAACGCACGAAGAAGTTGATCTCTGAGAAAATGAAGCTGAAGCGATTGTTCGAGACGTCGGAACAACGCGAACATCGTCTTCAACGAATGAAAGAACGTTATCGACAACAAAGAGATTCGTCGAGCGGTAGTAAACCGGACAGACGTCGAAGAGAATATCGCAGCGAAACGGCTTCCCCAGCCGATCCTGATGATCTCGCGGCTCAAGCAAAAGAAGAACGATTGCGGCGATTGCGTGACTATCAAAGGAAACGATTGCTGAATGAGAAACCCGAGCAACGAGCACGACGATTGGCAAAAATGCGCGAAAATCAGAAATTACGGCGCGCGCGACAAATGGCAAGTCGTAACGTCGTCACGGCGGCCAGTTTGGTAGGTGCACATCTCTCTAACGCTTTTCGTTGCTTTTATACTAATTTCTAAACACTTTTTTTTGCATGTTTTGTGAGTTCGGCGTTTGTGGTGGTGGTGCTCTCCTTATATATACTTGCCTGGGTCTTTTCTCCCACTCACTCTCTCCCCTCCCCCACCTTTTTTCCGAGCAAAAATGCATTTCATCTCATGAAAATTGAACACACACCTGGATATGGGACCGGAATTGTGATTGTCAGAGGACACCACCTTTGCGGAATACTGACCCTCATACTGTATACTGTAGCATGTTGAAAGGACCAGTTGTCCGCGGGGGCGGGGCTTATAGATGGTAGTGGTTCCCTCAACCACTCTAGAATTCTTTGAGCAATAAAGTAAAAGGCAACAACGCTTTTCATTGGCTTTTCGATATTTAGTTACCGTACCCTTACCGTAACTCTTCTCGAAGCAATGGCCAATTATGACGCACATCTTATAGACATACGAAAGCATTTATCCTTTGTAGAATCCGTAAAAGACAGAATTTGTTCTATTCATCTTTTTTTTATTTGTTGATAGTTTATGCGAGCTGGAAATTGCTCTCCTTAAAAAAGGATTTGTGTGGAAGGGGAGGGGGGTGACAAATAGGATGGGAGTTGGGTGGTAAGGAGAAGAAATTGGCATTTTTTTGAAGGTTTCATAGCAGTCCCTGAAAACATTCAGAGTTCTACTTGTTTTTTATTAGGAAAATTGCTGAAAATGGGTGGCAAATTAGTTTTTGATCAATAATTTTCAAGTCATTTTTTTATGCAAAAGTTATAAAAAAATACGAAAATCAGCGCACTATGAACACTTTTTACTTAAACAAATGAAGATGTTTTATTTTTTTACTTTATTATTACATTTTTTGTTTCCAGGACTTCGTCCGTTCACTGGCTCCAGACTACGAAATTCCTGAAGCAGGAGATTTGGCCGGTCTTGTTGACGCTGAACAGCAACAGCAACAGCCCGAAGAGCAGCAGCAGCAGCAGTAAATCGTCCGATGTGTGCAATCACGGACTCATATTGCTGCGTCGCGTGTTGGCTAATCCGCTCGTCGTTGAGTGCGTGTCGTCTTCTAGCCGTAGAGCAAGCGAAAGTAGCATTAGAGCATGTTATCTGTTGTTTGAGTTTGCGCGCGCCATACTTCAGCACTGTATGCACCGTAATTCTTTTATGATACACACATATATACACATATGCACATTATTATGATATATATACATACATACTATATATGCACACATACAAATGTCTTTCTTCATGATGATCCCAGTTATTACATATACCTACATTTTTTATTATGCGTTATATATATTGACTTTGAAAATCTTTGCATGCGTGGTCCATTTTCGAGATAGAGACGCAGAACATTTTGAGTGTCTGACTGCCTGCACTCACTCTAGTGTCTGACTGTCTGCACTCTAACCGAAAATAAACTGCGAAAATTTTCCTACATAGCTCTTTCAACTACACTCTCCTCCCGTTGATGACAATCTCCTTTGCAATATAATTTCATTTCGTATAGTAATAAGGCCGTAAAATCAATCGATTTGCAATCGATATCGATTTTTACGTGCATGTGTTTTTTTCATCGTTCTTGTTATGCCTTACCAAAATGTTGATGACGTCATTGCAATAAGTGGTTCACTTTCATTATTCTGACAAACATCACCAGAAAATTTTCCATACACATACCACATTCATTTATTCCTGTTTTGTTTATGTTTGTAAATTATGAAATGATTGATTTTTTTTGAAATTTTTCACATTACTCTTCTGCAAGAGGTACAGAATGTTGTTAAGTAGAGCTTTTGCAGCTAGTAATGTGAACTTTTTGTTTACATACCTTCCAACTGGACTGTTCAGGCCAAAATAAGGCACAAAATATAACTTATTTCCACTTTTTTCTATCAAATGATCGAAAAATTTCAATTTGTACTGAACAATCCAGTTGGCGCAACGCAGCCGCGACGCATACGCGTTGCGACCGCATCGCATCGGCGCATTTCTCCTCCTCTCGTGATGTGTTTCGCTTTTAAAATTCCCCAAATGTTCTTTCGCATTTTCCACAACTCAGGGAGAGTTTGTAGGAGCCATGTTTCTTTTCATTATTCTATTTTCTTATCGAATTTTTCTATTGCTTGTTTCTTCACAAAGAGTTTACATGTTCTGCACATTAATCTTTCTCAAAAGTATACGCTACATTGAGAATGGCCTTATATCTTTTTAAACTATGTTCCCGTACAAGAAACGCTATTCGCAGTGTGTTAGTATATATATGTAGAATCACAATCGTATGATTTTGTTCATACTCTTGAAGATAAAGATTATTTACATTGTTGATGTTTTGTGGGAGATAATGTGCAGGTTGCCCCAGACTTGGTTGTGAAGCTTTGTTTAGCGAAAACTCTTATGCTTCTCATCGTACTAAAAAACTGTCAATACAGTATCAGCATCGCTTCCCGTTACTGTAGGATTACGGTAGGAACTTTGTGTAACTTTGTAGGATCGTAAAATTCGTGTCTTTTTTTTCAAATGAAGCTGATAATCTCAATATAAATTTCTGCAAAGTGTTGTCCTCAAGTGGAAATCCGTCAGGGTACTGTCAGCAATGAGTGCTGATATTGTGAAGATTACTCAGAACTTTGCGTTTTTAACACATCATTACAGAGACTGTGGAGGAAAGCAAAAATTATCCGAGCCTAGCATTAGTCTTTTTTGAGACTGCGGCTGCCCAACCTTTTTCTCTCCAAACCAAGGATTTTCCATCGTTGAGCTTTATGGGAGGAGAAATTTGCTGCAACGATCTAGAAATGGCTCAAAATCATATTCATATTTCAGGTAATCCCACAGTAGTGCATTCTCTGTAGGATTACGGTAAAAATTTAAGATGTTATGCGCTATTAATAATCATATTTCATTTCAAATGGGATGATTCGTTCTGCACTCTAAATTTAGGGTGAATCTATGTGTTACGGTATCGTGGGGACCAAGATGTTTGTGCAATTTATGACATTTCATATGTGCTACGGGAAATGGAAATAACAAGCTCTCAGAAAATGTAAGAAAATAATAAATGAATAGAAATAGTTACTGTAAAATAAGATATTGTTTTACGTTTTGATTTTTACCTTTTTGTGTAGCAAATTAGATCATATATGTAATTTATTTGAATGTAAGCGAAAACAATGTTGTGCTGGGGTTACGATAAAGCCTGCTGCGAATCTCTGCAATAGCTATACCATAGCTCAGGGTACTACCCGAAATGTCGTCAAATATGCATAACTTGCGCTGCGGGAGGAGGGAGAGTATACTTGAAGTCAAGTGGTCTGCGCTCTACTGCAGATCAGGTATCAAGTTGAACCTGAGATGGTATTGAATTACTCAAATTCACACGCATTATGCTACGCAGCTACAGCTATGTACACGTTGAGCTCAACATTTGGGTAAGTTTAGGCGAAGGGGTTTCTGGGGGTTTCAATTTTGTAAAGTTGTTTTATCATGTTAATTTTGTTAGAGAACCCAGTGTAAATTATACGAGAGCAGAGAAACTTTCACCGAAAGTTATTGTTTTTATAGTGCAAAATCAGAATGCATAATGGAAATTCTTTACGGCTGCTAATCAAGTCGACTACTATATATTTTCCATATATGAAGCTAAACAGACTGACAGAATCTCTGACCCTCAAACTTATACTCTAGATTTTTGAGTGCAAATGTCATACGCAAATGACTTTCGCGAAGAGAATTAGAGTTTATGTCTTGCTGAGCATTCGAAACTGTGACCTATGGGAGGCCCAAAGTAAGCGATTACAGAAACGACAGCTTATATGATTCATTCGTAGTCGAAAATATCGAAGTTTAAAGTCCTGTCCAGTACCGTAATCGAGCGCGCCGTTTGCTCCGAAGTACTGTGTTGGGTGAGAATTTGAAGTTAACTTTCTCGGCTAAGGACAAATCGCATGACTGCTTCTTTGACTTAGTCAAGAAGTATTACTCTCTGAAAACATCATAGGTATGCCTATCTGATTTCAACAAGAATTTTTGAGCATTTTTTGTCATTTCAAAACACCATGATCAGTTGCCTTCTACGGATTGTCCATGTTTAGTTTGATTTTTAGAAAATTCGTTGCAATTCAATCGGACGCGCACACAAAATGCAATAGATCAAGACTTCGGCCATGTTCATCACTTAGCCATGAATCACTTCCTTTTCACGGAGCTATGATGTATAGCAAGGTTCGAATCTAATCATTGCCAGATCTTGCTCATCAACCAAATCCCATTTTCGAGGCAAACTCCCTACAAAGAGTACTATGGTTGGGAGCGATCATACTGGTTGCAGTAATCGCTTCTCTATCGACATATCAGGTTCTGAAGGATTACTTTGGTTATCGTACTGCGACTCATCTGATCATCAGGCAGGTATCTGATTGATTAACGTACTGCACAATTTACTCACATCTCGCTGTATCCCAGAACTCTTCGTTGTTACTCCCTAGTCTGCGTATTTGTCCAAAAAATCCCGACCATCTTAATTACGAAGTTCTATTTGCAGGTTGTTGACATTTGCGTTTTAAGTACATAACAAAGTATCAGAAATTTATTGCAGATATCGATCAAAGAATTACAAATCTTACGACTGACTTGAAGAAAGATATTCTGCTCTATTTCATTGCTGGCAATGCCTTCATGAACACAGGAGTCGATAAGTGGGATGACAACTATCGCAGGATTATTGGCCGTTTATTTGGAACTTGGATGGGCCATAGAACGACAATGGAGATGTTCGATCTTGTATTCAACGTAAATGGACTCAAATGTGAAGATGTAGGCTTGTCGCTTTCGCTCTATCCTTTGGTTCAACTGGCTTGGCTGCTGGAAGGCGGGCTTTGTGACCTAATTAAAGTCGCTCGCGCCTACGATGCAGTCTGCGTCTCTCTCGCGGGCGTGCTCTCTGAACATTACCGACCCTTAATTAGGTCAGGAATCCCCGCCTTCCAGCCGCAAGCCAGTTGAATTAAAGGGTATGTCCTATGTAAGTCATTACAGATTTTTGAAAGTTGCTATCCGATTAGTTGCTGCAAATATTTCAAGCCGCACTACGTCATGCAACGAGGCAGGTAAAGCTTAACTTGAATATTTCAAGATAAAACAGTGACGATAAGTGATATTAGGACACTATAAGTTTCGAATACCACTTGTAAATATGCCAATGCCAAAAACTGCCACGCGGATCTATACTCGTACACACACACCTCAAACTTGGGTAATCAAACCGTTTACTAACTAACGACACGCAATCAGCATATACACGATTAAATGAACAATACACAAAAATATAAGTGAGATGATGGTTAAAGTGAAAGCTACGATATGGAGGTCAAAATCGACAAAAAGTCAAGTAAAAGGCAAATGCTGGAAAATTACGCAATGGAAGTTAAGGTTAGTCAAACTCAAGTAAAAGCCTTTTGAGGCACTTAAAGCTCACTAAGCTTAGAGTGAACTAAATTGCAAGAAAAAAGATCACGCAGCAGTACTTGTAAAATTTCCTCTCAAGCCAATACTTGTATTATGCTAGATTCTTTTATGAAATTTTCACGTATGAGATTTTATATAAGGCTTATACCAGTTTACATAATCAAAAACATGAAGTGTTAGAGCACATGAGAAAAAAATGTATCGACGCCTCATCTCTCCTCGAGCTTCATTGAACTGTCCTTCGATATTATCAACGTTCTTATCAGGCATCGAGGCGCAGATGCGCGAGGAATGTTTTTTGTATTTGTAGCTGTCGTCGACGACAATTTCACAATTTTTCGAAACAGATATCTGCATTAGAAAATATGTGTAATGCTGCAAGAGTGCCGCTTTTTATTATGCGAGCAGCTCAACCGAAATATGAAGGCCGGTACCTATCGCTGATCAAAATCAAATTCGCCCCTTAACAAAAGTTAATCCGTGTCTGTCTGCAAGTGCATAGGACTTCAGGTTCTAGGATATACCCTTTTTCTTTTAGATGCTTGCGCTTAGACAACTTCTATCAACTGGGTGACGGTGAATCACACTCGTTACGTCTAGACTTTAAACGGCCTGATGGACTTTTGATAGATGGCAATAGACAGGTAATAAAGCTCTAATGCATTCCTAACCGTCTCCTTCCCACTTAAAATCTTTAGAGACAATTAGTTGTCTATTTTGGCGACAAATATCCAGAAGTGGCTCGATTTCCAAGAATTTATGTCACAGAGAATGATTATGGAATGGTGAAGTTCAGGGTGAGGAAAGTGTCTATGATACAGAAAAAGCATTGTGCAATAAATCCACAGCAGCGAGGTGAGGTTCAATAGTATCCTTTATTTAACTGGCTTGACGGCTGGAAGGCGGGGCTTTGTGACCTAATTAAAGTCGCTCGCGCCCGCAACGCAGTCTGCGTCTCTGTCGCGCACGTGCGCTCTAATCACTGTCTAGCCTTAATTAGGTCACAAAGCCCCGCCTTCCAGCCGCAAGCCAGTTGAATCAAAAGGTAATTTTGAGAGTATAACATACAAAATCGAATGTTCGAGCGTCAGTATCTCCTAGGACGATCCACTTGCTATGTAAGCCGTTGGCTGCAACAAAACATTATCGAGCCATTCAACTGCACCCTGCCATCAATTCGAGACATACAAGTAGCTAAGGGGTACAATATATGTGATCCACACATCATTGTTGGACATTATACAAGAATCTTCACGGAAGACGCACTCAAGAACAAGGTGAACCATCTTTGGGTAATGTCTTTCTTTACCAAAAATTGAACTGATATTTAGGCAAGAGATTTAATGACAATCAAATAACTGAAAATCTTGCATCTTGCAAAAAGCTCGCAGATTCGCTATTTCAGGCTCACATTTTGGCAATATTGTGTTCCTCAAAAAACTGAAAATCTCTCACTGTTTTCCACGTTATGCGGTCAAACCTCTACGCTTACTGGTCACATTTAACCTTTGATTCAACTGGCTCGGCGGCTAGAAGGCGGGGCTTTGTGACCTAATTAAGGCCGCTCGCGCGTGCAACGCAGTCTGCGACTCTCATCACTGCCTAGCCTTAATTAGGTCACGGAGCCAGCCGCCAAGCCAGTTGAATCAAAGGGTATGTTTCAAAGTTTTAACCACATAACGTAAAAGGACAGGTTTGAGAATGTCTTCCAGGTCTTTGAGGAAAGCATCATTGCCGGAACGTCAAAATGAATAAATATGGGAAACTGCCCTTTTGAACCGCTCGCTATCACGACGCGCCTCTGATTGGTCAACATGTCCACTACCATTGACAAGGCTATAAGTAGGAGGGAGCATCATTTTTCTACATCTTTCGTGTCCAACATGATGATAAGTTTTGGCAAAAGTATATCAAATGCTTAAAACTAAGAATTTCCCCTGTTGGCTGTGAATGCGACTTGTTGGCTTTGATAGCGGCGCCGCACGCGGCGAAACGGGCACGCGCGCGAAGGGTTCAAAAGGGCCTACACCCAATAAATATTATTACAAGCTTGCGTGGCTTACAACAAAGTTAATGACTTCAAGAGGACAGTGCCAGGTTTCATGTTTAGAGAACGTATAAAGTCGACTGGCCGATTGGCACATATCGCTATAGAGTGAACACACGCGAGCGTGCCTGCAACGCGGCTGCCGAGCACTGGTGTTTGATGACTCATGCGCGCAAATGCCAATGTTAGCGCGCAAGAGACACGCTCGCGGGCGTTCAGCCTACAGCTATTCGGGCGATTTCGTGCAGTCAGCCTTAGCAAATTGAAAGAAGTGCGTCCATACTTCTGTTATCCCTCTACATTAAGTCGCCATACAAAGCAAATATTGTATTCAGTGCATTTTAAATTGCGATCGTTGGGATTTGGACTATCAATACTACACACATGTTGATCGAAAGCAGAAACGATTCCGGCTAGAACTTGCGTTCAGAGATCTGAGTGTGAGTTGCGCTAGACTTTTTTCCTCACCTTAGCTCCTTGGTTACCTCTTCTAGTACGAAGAATATGAAGAAATTGCTATGCTGTCAACTCCCAGGTTCATTTCGCAGATTGGCGGACAACTCGGGCTTTTTCTGGGCACTTCGGTGGTTTTATTGTTCTACTTACTTAGCCAATTGCTTACGAAATTGTTGTATCGCAAAGTTTGACCTAACAACCCTTTAATCTAGCCCTTATGCTGTCGTACTAATGACTGCTCAATGATATACAACAAAACATTATAAATGTTTAAATTTTGTCAATAAATACTTTTATGTCACTTGTTTGAAGCCATTGTGCTTAATGTCTCAAATGTCCATAATGTAACATTGCTTGAGAAACATCTAACCAATCGTGGAACAGTTGCCTGGTCATCCATCATAATCACAACCAGCTATTAGGTGTGAACTCCTCCGAAAGCGCTGCTCTTTAAATCACCCATTTCCCATTTGCTCATAAATTATCGCCCACTTGTCCGTTCTTAGAAGAATTTACATAAACCCTGCTCATCTCTACTCCCCCCCCCCCCCTCCCCTCTTCCCCCCGCCCCCGCATTCGAGACAAGTTACTCATTGTAGGCGGAAGTTGTGTATTAATCCATTAGTAAGTGGATCAAGCCAATGGCATCAAAGGCTTTCGTTTTGAGCGAAACCGTTTTCTAGATATTGTTGAAGGGTTCACATTCAAATATTTTTTGAAGTTTATTGCGGTAAATATTCGTACGGACGTCGACAAGTAGTAAGAGAAATATAAAAAATGTACTAGCTAGTTTCAAGACGACATAGGTCGTCTTGAAAGTATTTTGTTAAAAACGTTTCGCGTTCTCTAAACGATCCGCGTTCTCTAATTCCGCGAACACAGATTAATAAAAGACATTGCTAACATTCGATGCAGTTTTTCAAGCTCTTTCAAAAACTATTTTGATTTGCAGTTCAAACAGCGAGCTTTCACCATGGTGAAGTTCCTCTATTTTCTGAATTTGTGAACGAGCAGCTAGGAAGAGGAAGTCATTATTGTATTTTTTCCTCTTCTCAACAGTTTCTTGTTTCTACATAATTCGTAAAGTCTTCGGGGAATAAATTGACAAAATTCATGTATTCGCACGCGCCCCAAGCTGTACTCGAAGAAATCAAGATTCGATATCTCGAATCCCAGAACGTTCGCTTTGTATAGTGCTGGATCATAATCACTTTCGGAGAGTCCAATTTTTGAGAATTTATTGGTGTTCGACAATTTTGCGTGTGAGGGAAGCTAAAATTCGATGGTTTTGACAAATATATAATCAAAAAATTATAGTGAATTGTATGGAGGAAGAAAAATGGTTTTGCATGTAGGGTCTGCTCTATCCATAGGGCCCTTAAACTTTTCCTGGAAATCCGTAAAAAGTTTAGAAAAATAGCGAAAGCTGACCGTGGTAACCTGAGTCGCAGTTTTTCATAATTTTTTGAAGCTTGTTGGTAAAACTGCAAAGTAAAGACAGCCCTTTAAAAGAGTGTGGAAAGCTGCATCGAATGCTACTAATATTTTTTTTATTGGTCCTTACTCCGCGGAACGTGGCGTTTGTTCAACAAATGCGAAAATACTTTCGGAACGATCTAAATAATCACTTGCTTAGAATTTGAACATGAGTGACTACAAAAATGATACTACCTATGTGAACCTACTCTCTATCTTTCCCCAATCACTCTATGCTCTTTTTCTTCAAAGCTAATAGTGAGTCACAAAAAAGAAGTTCATCCTTTTGCTAGAGGCTGATTAAGAAAACTTGAAGGAACTACGAAAACAGAGACAAACACGACGTTTTTTGTACTTTTCCCTAGAAAGCTTACGGTGCTCGTAGATTCCATTTGTGAGAAATGGTAATTCAAAGCAAAATCTGGAGCATTTTTAGCTTTAACATTTTTGCTTCCTTTTTCTTTTTGAAATAATTTATAATGATGCCGATTGCACTGCTTGATGTGATACGCTTCGATACGGTTAGAAGATGATATCTCCGATAATTGACTTATAGCCCCTCAGAATATTACAAGGCCTTTCCAGTGATGAATTTTTAACAGCCTACAAATCCCCCCCCCCCCAAAGATGTTTACGCATCGTTCAGCCAATATTTCGAATGAGACTGATTCATCAGATAAACTTTACACTCTCATTGTCAGAGGGAGCAAGTGGCCATTTCCGTTCTCCCAGTTGCACCCCTGAACCCTTTCACAAAAAAAAATCGTTTTCTTTGTTTACCTAAGATGCATATCTTTGCTCACTTTTTGCATGTAAATGTTTATGTTACGACTTTTTCTGGGTATTAGAACTACTCTCTCATTTAAACTATTGCAAAGCCTCTTGTCTTCCAAAAAGCAGTCAAAAACTCTACGAGGAAGTCTCTCAAGGCTTAAATAGACCTGTTTGCACTATTGTACTTTATCTCTTCATACAGCTAAATTTCATAGCCTCTTCCCATAATAAAAGTAATCCAAGAATATGAAGAAGATTTATGCTCATTATTCTGACACATGTTATGCTAAATCTTAAAAAAAGGAAATGAAAACATCGAAAAAACGTCGAAATGAAAATTTGGATTTCTCATTAGTGATTCCTTATCTTTTCACAGTACCAGGCAATTATCGTAGGATTATTAGGGTTATTCTCAGTACAATGGGTTCACTAAAAATGATTTCGTTTCGGCATGAGAAACTTTATAAAAGCTTTTGTCGTTGATATTCGTCCATGATTTTTTGGAAAAGTGGTTTGTAGCCTCTACTAGTGGAGAGAACTTACAAACTTTACGAGTTGCAAGTGCAGGAGTCGCACAAAGAAAGAAACGGTCACGGTTAAGCCCAATGATGAGGTAGGACGCGGATAAAAATTAAGCGCTTCCGGCAGAACGTAAAGTAGTAATCAGGTTATGAAAACATAAACTTCGCAGAACGAAGGAGTTCAGGAAATAACGTTAGTGACGGGGAGCTGCATATAAGGAAGACAACAAATCAAGAAAACGGAGTGCCACTAGATCTTCACTTCCTGTTCCTTTTGCATGATTCCGGGCACGAATTTCTCTCTTGTCCATTCTTGAAGATCTTGCCTTCTTCCTTGTCAATGATCATATTTGTGTGATAGCCTTGCCGGGTGATGTACTTTGTTTCCTTGCTCGCCCTTGATGTTGAACATAGCATTCCGAAGATGAATGTAGTTGGGAATTACTAACCTTCAAATGGACATGCAAAATTTATGGCCTTAGACCAGTTCTTCCAATCAGTTAACAATCGTTAGGGTTCGCAAGATGATGGAAGATAACACATGTTATGAAAGGATCTAGAGTAAATCGCGCACTTTAGAAATATGCAAGCCTTACGTGGAGGTTCCGGTTTTGGACCGTGAGGCGACCTCTGAGTATTTAAGGAGTGCGCAAAACCTTGAGCCCATTACAATGGAAAAATGGACCTTCTAGTATTCATACGCATTTTCGCATCCGATGTCCCTGATCTAACTGACGACAACGATGACAATAACACCTGGATCAAGTCTTGACGAGAAATTCGTCGGTCCTCCCAGGAACATGCGCTTTCCGTCCGGATGTATAAAATCTCACTGAAAGCCTGACGTCCGTCTCCCTCTGCACATCCCGGAGTCTCTTAAGCACTGGACCCGATCACTATTCCCGATAGCCGTCGGCGTTTAACGGTCCAACAAAACCCCGTCCTTCGCTTCACCGTCACCTTGATGTGAGGTACAAGGCTGTATTAAGATCCCCGGAACTCCCCTCATCGACTTCTCTGCATCCAGAAAGAAACTACCCTGGCTGTTGACATTCGAGCAAACTTGGGTTGCACATCCTATCTTCAGCATCCGACTACGCCTCCACGATCGACGAATGACTGGTGAGAGACAGTGCTGATCTTGCGATTGTGCGATTGCCATTTTTCCTTCTTTTCGATAATTGATTAAGGGCTCAAATATGCCTTACGTCAATAAATAATCATTAAATTTCGAAATAAACTGCCTTGAATGCTGTTAAGATTGCGTCTACTTGTAATGGAATTTCAATCATGGGCGCTGCGTATGGCAGCGATAGAGTGGAAGACTCCAAAGATTTTCAAGGAAACATGCCGAACAAGTAAGGGCAAGCGCGCAGGCCTGTGTCGAAGCACTCCAAGGCGCCATAGGACGCATATCAGACCGAACAACGACACAATTGCAAATGGCTAATGCAGTTAATGGAGATCCTATTCAAGACTATAACAACTCACCAATGATGGCAATCGCGAGAAATGCTAGCCGGATTACAGTAGGGAAATCACTCTGCAAGCCATCATTAAAAATTTCATTCTTGTTGTAGCAGATACAGACGAAGCGGCACTAGAGTTTAGACAATTTCCACGCTCAAGACAGCGAGACGGACAATAATCACTTTGGACCAACATCTATAACAAAGAAAATGGTTGCGCTGGAAAAATCGTCAGTGCTATTTTTTAAAGGAATTGGCAAGAAGCAAAATGGCTGTTAAATACTCAAATCGTGTCGAACTCAGTTGCGCAGCCATTCCATTTTGCCTAAGGACGCGAACCGCACAAAGATTTTGTACACGTTTTAGATGAGGACTAACGATGATAGAAGATGGCTATAAATGAGATTACGAGAAGCTAATCGAAACGTGCAGAATGACTCACCCTCACTTCCTACTACGACCAGCTGCGCCGCGCCGAAACAACAACAACTAAAAAACGAGAGGACCATGAACAAAACATGCGTATCTCGCTAAGTGCAGCAACTCTGGAAGTACTTGAATGATGATCCCATTTTAAATACCTCGGAGTCATCAAATGTTTGATGGTCAGTATGAAGATCGCGGGCCCAACCTTTCAATGCCCCGCGAATGTGTAGAGAATTTGCATGAGTTGCAAACTGTACGAATCGGAAGAAGAAAGAAATGCTCACGGTTGAGCCCGATGATGAGTGAAGGTTGCGGATAAAAATTCAGTTAGAGAAAAAAGCGACCTAAGAGGCTTCCGGCAGAACGTAATATACTGCGATCACGTTATGAAAACGTAAACTCCGCCACACGACGGAGCTGAAGAACTAACGGTACTGACGGAGAGCTGCATACAGAGGAGACAACAAATCAAAAAGACGGAGTGCCACTCATCCTCACTTCCCCTTCCTTTAACATGATTTGGGG